CGATTATAGATAACCAAGCACGTACGTCCTCAGAATCCCGGCACGGAAGTACGGGAGCTCGGCTTTGATGTTAGCGGGTCGAGGCTGAGGGGGAGCTGGCGGAGGCGGTGGTTGGGGAGCAGGGGTGTTAACGGTGAACTGGGCGTTGGAGAGCGCTTGCTGGAAGATGTGTTGGATGTCCTGTATAGTAGCAGCCGTGTTCTGAGCCTGGGTAAGCCGGTGGTCGATATCCACAAAAATGTTCCGGAGGGCGTTATACGCCTCGGGACTCAAAGTATTCGCAAGGGCAGCAAGGGCGTCTTGTGCCTGCTCCATAATAACGGGGGTAGCTTAGTACGTGCAGGATATGTCGGCCGACGATACGTACTGTCTGAGTTACCCGATATGGAAGGTGTAGTATTCGAGCGGCGTCGAGGAACGGCGACGAAGTAAAGCGGTGTCGACAAGAGTTCGAAGCTAGCTGAGAGACCTGTCTCCAGTGTGAGCACTAGTAAACCCACACTTTTGCAAAAGTGTGATTACACCCACGTCTTCGGGCTGAAAACCGGTCAGACTTAGACGCGAGAGGAGAATTCTGGCGTATATTCGACGAAGTACAGCTAAATAAATACAGTAACTGAGACAATATGACGTAGACCTAAAGCGGAAGTAATCGACATAATGAAATCATATGTTTCGGAAAATGTCTGTGGAATAACTAAGGAAGAGTGTTCAGGAAATAACATACGGCTAAACATACGAAATAGGAAATAGGCAAATGCGTGCAAACCGATGTATCCACATGACCGCCCTCCGCGCGTCTTTGCTATTGCGCCCCCGTGCAAACATGACCAAATATTACCTTTTCGAGAATTTTATCATGTGACCTCCGACGCCCCCGGCCACGTCACTAAAAATAAAGAATGTAAACGCATTGCGTAAGCTGGCTATGCCTGAGCGAACATATTTATATTATTTCCGAACACCATTGTGCTCCTGTAGTCTAGTTGTTAGAATGGTGATCGCCTTTGCCGGAGGTGTTCGGTTCAATTCATGATTGTGCAAGCTTTTTCTCTTCCTTGGCAGGGTTAGGGTTTATTAACTACCTTTATGCACTATTGCCTTTCTGTAGTATCTTTGTCAACTATATGTATCACAGGTCTACAAATTTGAATACAAAATTTTGTTTTCCTATCTATACGAGTCACTTAGTCCCTAGTGGTTACTCTAACTAGTCGGACATGCGCCCGGAGGGAAGTCCGCGTTTGCCGGCGTCACATGACTTTCTTCTCGATATGGTATCTTTGTACATGTTTGCACGGGGGCGCAGTAAAGCTACCTCCCTCCGCGTGAAGCCACAGCTTCCCTTTCCGGTATGCGACAAGCCTGAAAAGGCTACGGTATTCCAATCACGACGGAGGCTGCAAGTGCAACGCGTCGTCTTGGTCAGAAATTCAGTCCCACAGCCTGGTATACCTCTTCATACTCCAGTGGCATATCTCGACTGTGATTTGCCATCAGACACGGGGACACGCGGCTCGTCGGGCTACGGGTGGCATGCATTGTCGAGTCATCAGCAGTTCTTGGTAGTAGTACCCGATCCGAGAACGCCGGATAAGTGCTCTGAAAACGATAAATGGCGCTTCTCCACCAGGACCTTTCAGGACGGACATCCACCGAAGTCATACTGTAAGTCACGGTACTGCAGATTCGACAGCACCCCGCGGTTGGTCGGATTTGCTTGCGGCGATGGTGGGCGACTTGACGCCAAGGCTGGAGAAGCTCTCCCTCGTTGAAAGGACCAGAACAACAAGTCCAAAGAAATGCTGGTGTGAGTGTCCCCCGGGAGCGCGTAGCCGAGCCACCTGCGCGTACTGTTCCGCTGAGACGGCGTCCTCGTCACCCCAGCCCTGCAGCCCCGCAGCCCTCACGCAACCCAGCTCGGGCGAGGACGAATCGGACGAAAATGGCTGTCCAGGATCCCCGCTTCCCGTTCACCCACGTGGCTCTGAAGCAGGCGTAGAGGCCACCCCTCCCCCCCCCTCCGAGCCCAAGACTGTCTCCGCCCGCGAAAGGGAACCAGCGCGTATCGCCTCCTCCGGCCCGCTTCGGCTGTCGTACTTGGTCCCTCTGACCTGCGGGTGCCGGACGAAGCGGGATGAGCCGTGCTCACGATCCACTGCCAATGCCCGCCGGTGTGTGTACATGTCTCCAGCACGTTGGGAGACCGGGCCAACGGACGCCCGCATGGACTCGACCCGCAGCGGGCTGGCGTGCGTTCCCAGGTGGTCAGATATGCGGACGACTGACGTGCACACTGTTCGGCACTCTGGCAGATGTCGATTATGTCGACCCCTGGCGACACCCAGGCCGCAGGCGTGAGCCCTGCGCCAGCGATGTCCAGGACACTCTCCCCGGCGGACGAGTCGGGGTACATCCACGCACCCACGCCGACGCGGGGACGGGCGTGCTGCGCAGGTCTTGTGGCGCTCGGCGCCGCTGGACACGGCGAGGGGAGGGGAGGCTGGAGGAGTCGTGCGCGGAACGTGAGTCCTGGGAGGTTAGGAGCGGCTGACGATGGGTAGGCGACGCGAAGCATCGGGAGATCTTTGCGTTTCCGCGGGTCAAGCTCAAGCACGGCGCGGGCGTGGGGGCTGATAGTCCAAGCTGGTAATTACAAAGTGGAGCAGATTCGTCGAGGGAGATGGGGCGCATTGAATTCTGTTGACCCACCTGTCTTTGTAGTGTAGGATAGAAGTAGAACACTTGCGTAGGTATTATGAAAGGCAATCGTGCTGGCAGTTGATTGGGAAGTGATGCCGTCGTCGAGTGTCACTGGGTAGCCACTTCCTGCCTGCAAGTCAGTTCCAGACCTGCGCAGAAGCGGGATGTACTTGGCCGCCCATCGGAGTTTGCAGAAGGTCTGGCTATTACGGCTCCAGATGACGGAAGCGTCTTCTTGTGCTCGCGACTATAGCACAACGATCTCGGCAATGCCCCGTAGACAGAATATAACCGCGAAACCCAGTGCTTATTAGGCTCACCTGCACGTGGTATGCGCAGACGTAGTGATGCGGGTCGCGCGGGTTGGACGCAGATTCGAATTCCAGCGCGCGGGTGTACAGGACGGACATGACCTCCGGATGCGTAGCGGGCTTGCGTCGGTTGAACTGACTTTAGCGTCCCGCCTACACTGTGAACTCGGTCGTTTGACTTGGACAGAGAACGCTATGGGAGAACTGTCCAGCGAGCTGCAGCGCGGTGCATCGAGGAGGTGTACCATTGGATTAGATGGACCATTCAAAAAGGCCGAGCTGCGCACTGAACGACACGTACCCCGCGGCTGGTGGAAAAGGTAGGGACCTGGATATGTCGGCGTACTCAAGGGACTGTGATCTGAGTTTATAGCCAAAGACATGCGCGTATCAGCGCCAGATATTTGGTTATAAATTCAGGGCAGAGATTCAAGGGTTGAACGTTGAACGTTGAACGTTGGACATGGGACATTCAGAGACACTGTGACGTGACAGGAGTCAAAGCCAGGTGCACAGCCGCAGCACAGCCTCATCTAGCAGATGCGCGTTCTGCCCGCGCGCGTCTGCCACCGCCGACAATGGCCAGCCCCGATCCCGCCGACGACCTCCCCGACCGCCTCGGCGCGCTCGCCCTCGCAGACGACGCCCAGCCCCGGAAGAAACGCTTCGTCGGCGGCTTCTGGTCGCCCCGCTCCAAGCCGCTCCCGCCCCCGCCAGCGTTCCCCTCGCCCGCCAATGGCGCGCCGTACCTGCCCTCGCCCCCCGCCCCCGGCCCGCTGCCCCGCCCGCCCGCGATGCTCGCCATCCCCGTGCCCCAGCACCACTACGGCCAGCCGCAGTCGCTGACGATGCAGTACGCGCTGTCGCCTCCCCCGGGCCGTCCTCCGCCCGCGTCCTCGCCGCCCCCGACGCCCACCGCCCCGCGCCCAGGCCCCGCCCGCCCGCTCTCCGACTCGGGGCTCAAACCCTCGCGCCCTCCCCGCCCCTCGTCCTCTTCCTCCTCACCGAACCCCCGCCCCGCCCGCAAACGCGCCAGCTCGTCCCCGCCGCCCTCGCCCGTCGTCAGCTCCTCCGCGGCCGACGCCGTCCAGTGCAGCGGCGTCACCAAGGCGGGCAAGCGCTGCGCGCGCATGGTCAAGGGTGCGGGCGACGCAGGGGAAGACGGCGAGGAGCCGCCGAGGTACTGCCACCAGCATAGCAAGGAGATCATGGCCCCCACCGGCTTCTACTCGCGCAAGACCGGCGCGGACTGGATCAAGTTCTCCGGTCCGTCGCGCGTTCCTTCTCGTATTCGTCCCGCGTCTGACCACAATCGCACCCGCAGACTGGATCCCCGCCTACCTCAGCGAGCCCACGCAGGTCGCGCTGCGCACCGAGATGGAGCGCGCGCGCTCCGCCGCCGACGAGCCCGGCTACATCTACGCCTTCGAGATCCTCCCCCCCGCCAAACACATCCACCTCAAAGTCGGCCGCGCCACCAACCCCGTCAAGCGCCTCGACCAGTGGTCCAAGCAGTGCGGCTCGCGCGAGCAAGTCCTGCGCGGGTACTGGCCCTGGGGCGACGGCGCCATGCGCGGCCGCTTGCAGGTCGGCCCGCCGGGCCCGTGGTGCCATCGCGTCGAGCGCCTCGTGCATCTCGAGCTCGGCGATCTCGCGGCGGGGATGGTGTACCTGGATCCCGGCTGGCCTGGCGTGGGCGCGGTCAAGGGCGTCCAGCGTGCGAGAGGGAGGGTGTTCAAGGTGTGTCCGGATTGTGAGTCTTGTCCTCCGCGCCTTCGTTTCGTTGTTGGGCCGAGGCTCACGGTCAATGCAATGGCCGCACAGGCGGGAAACAGCACAAGGAGATATTCTCCTTCGCGCGCGTCGAGAACGGGCGCTACAAGGGCCGCGAGTGGGAGGCCATCGTCAAGCCTGTCATCGAAAAGTGGGGCGCGTTCGTCGAGGCGTATGTATGAGAATGGCAGCACGGGTGGATTGTTGTACTGCGGCGTAAGATGGATGTGTACCGATACCGCTATGTATCATGGACTACCAAGCACACAACTATATACCATGTAGCGAACACAGGCACAGCGGACGTTCTCTCTGCATACCACCGTACGTCCGCATACCATCGTGCGTCCGTCCCCCCCAGAGTTTCATGGCGACGTTGCTGGCCCGAGGTGCTTACACCGGTGGGAGCGGAGCATGCGCCGTCCACGAAGCTCGGGAGCCGTGCGGTATATTTCCAGCGGAACACGCGTACTCACCAGTGCTCACGGCGGCGGGGCCAGACAGCTTGCCCCATCGTTGAGTTACAGACTACTGGGTCGATTCGGCGATGGATAGTGCAGACTGGCTGCGTTCAGCGAGCCACGTCGGGGAGGCCCGGGCCTGGAGACTGGAGCGCGAGGAGGGCTTGGGTATTGTGAGGAGCCGACGTAGGGAGTTGCTCAGGAGCCCACGAGCCACGCATGCATAGACGTTAGCGACCACCTGTCGATTCTGACGTCTTGCTCGAGAGCACGGACGGGGAAGGTTGCCGATGGGTCCAGGACGTCGGTGGTGGCCAGGAAGGAGCTGTGCGGACCCACCGTCGCTGAGAGCTCGAGTTTGAGATCTGGTGACCTTGACGCGCCAGCAGCGTAGCCCATCTGTGCAGCCACCCGCATCGGCGAGCCATTCCACGCATGATTGGGGACAGTAGACTACAGGCCGTGTACAGGATGTACTTCACGACCAATCGATCTTCTTCACCCAGTCGAACTCGCCGTCCGGCATGACTCCCCTGATATACGGCTGCAGCATGTGGGCGGTGACTGGCACCACCTGGCCGTCGTCCAAAGCGGAATTGAAGTTGAGCCTAACCTGGGGATGGGGACGGGATGTCAGCGCTGACCCCGAGAGGGGGAGAGGGGGGGACGCACAGTCTGCGGGCTGTCCCCGTGGGCGGCCCTCCACCACTTGATCACGTCGTCCACCCCCACCCGCAGGCGGGGCACGAACACGTCGAGGATGTGCGCCTTGTACAGCGCAGCCGCGCCGACGTGCGGCGGGGGGACGCCTTGCTGCACGCGCAGCGTCTTTCGTGAGCTCACCTGTCCCGACGGCCTCGCCGAGAAACAGCGCACCTCGGTATACCACTTCATCCACCCCGCCCTGTATATCTCGCGGGTTAATGATTATTGCTGGAGCCGCGCGCCATGCGACGCAGGTACAGTCCGCTTGCTGCTCGAAGGAGTATTGGCTCTCCGGCGCGCTCATGTACGACCACACCCCCGCGGCCTGTACGTATCACCCATACAATCGCCCACACGAGACGATAAGATGAGGGAGGGGACACATACCGATCGCGACACGGACACCTTGGTAAAGTTGTACTTGTCGAAGGAGGCTTTCTGGCGCAGGTGCTTACCGTTTGTGGCCTGGCGCATCGCAAGGTTAGCCAGAGTACGTAGGCTATAAGGAACCCGAGCGCACGGTCGCTTTCGACCCGTTGGACACTTGCTCGAGCAACGGCATCCAGGGCTTGTACGGGTTGTTATCGTGGGGGAGGCACGCCAGCTGGTGGCCGATGGTCCCTGAGTTCTGCACACCCGCCGTTAGTCTACCAGCGAGCCAGTGTGCGCGAGGAATAGCCCACAGCGATGTACTTCGCAGCCCACCCGCAGAACGTCTGGCCGCCCCAGTCCCAGAAGCGTTTTGAAGTATGCTATGGACATCGCGACTGACTGCAATCACGACATCAATATTTGATTGTGGTATGTAATGCCCACTGTCGTATCGTGCGTACTCGTCTGCACTTCGTAGATATGTTTCTGGCCGTACGTGTTGGCCCCCGCCGTGCGCTCGTGCGCCGGCCAGGCGACGTAGTGCGGGTCGAGCGGGTTCCCCTGGGCGTTTCCCATGGGGTAGCGGAGATTGATCCAGTGCGCGGAGACGGCGTGCGTGTAGGGGAGCGGGGTGAAGGCGATGTTCGGGCATCCGGGGACCTTGACTTCGAGGTCGTCTTGGACGGGCAGGGTTATCGGTCAGAAGGTGGGTAGATAATTGGGCAGTACGGCCTGAGTTAGTGGCGTTGCCGGCATTAAGTTCGTCGCCGACTCTGATATAGTAGGCGTCGGGGACGACTTCGGGAGGGACTGTCCGCGACGCGTGAACGCGTGTTCAGAGACCATAGCACTTAGACAAGAGGTACAGGACCATCGGAGTAGATGTTCCCGTCAAGGAGACCAAATCGATTCTTGAAAAGGATGAGAGGGGCGCGGTCGTAAAAACCTAGGCGGGAGCCTAAGATGATTGAAGTAAGGCCGACTGCAGCGGTGACAATCCAGAGAGGCCTGACAGGCATTTTGACGATGAAGGCTGCAGACTGCGGTAGCAGGAGGCATGGTACTTGAGGTATTCTCAAGGCCACTCTGTGAGCGCTCAGACTAGTTCAGGCACGGCTGTCGTGCCTGTATCTCAGCGGTGCTCGACGTACCCCGACGCTATTGAGAGGCCAGCGAAGATCCACAATATTACAGGTGAAGTGTGAAGCGAGTATGTATGTTAGACAGACCGGATGAGGGCCAAGTGGCTCCAGCGAAGCAGTCAGGCTCGAGCTGTTCATCACGAGCGGAACCGGGTCAATTACATTGATTGCTGGAGGCCCGAGGGAAGGTGGGAACCTGGACCTGTCGGTACGCTCGAGGGTCCGCGACGGGAACTTGTACCAGGACGCATGGTGAGACTCTGGTACGAGTTCACGGCAGGGATCCAAGGAGTCCCATGGTAGAAAAGATACGTTGGTTCGCATCCGGCGTATAAGAGATATGCATAATGCCCGTTGGTCTTCCACCGTTATGTGGACTGTCAGATACCTGACTCGGAGTTGACCCTGATGAGCTTCGGGTCTGTGAACTCGCAGTGCAGTGCAATCATAGAATAAGGTCGACATCAACGACGTGCACAAAGCAGAAGCGCGATACGTCGTCGAAACCCACTTCTGAGCGCTGGGCAGTCGAAGAACGAGGAGTGCATGTCGAAATGAAGACGCAAGGAAGGAACCGTGGGAACTCATTTTCCTCTCGATCCAAGTCTAGCAAAGCCACAACGACCATCTGCAGGCAGCCATGGCAAGCGTTCTGTTACGGGCAACCAGGACGTGTCGACCATGGACCGGTCGTAGCCTTGTCTTACAGCGGAATATCCACAGCAGTCTGCCTGGTGCGTTGTTCATTGCGTTCCGTCTGGCAGGCGCTGACTTTTCCACAAGTCTACAAGAAGAAGCAAAAGGTCCTCATCGACGACCTCTTCGCCGAGGACGACGCAGACGCATCCAAGGACGGCGACCTTTTCTCCTCCTCCTCCTCCCCCGCCAGCTCCCCCGCCCCCGCTCCCACCTCCCCCAGAGCCTCCACCTCCACCCGCAAGCGCAAGCTCTCCCCCGAGGAACGCCTGCAGCGCTTCAACAACCTGCGGCAGTGGGTCTCCGACCGCATCGGCAAGCACCCGCCCGCGGGCAAGTTCCCGGAGCAGGTGCGCAACAGCGCGTGGGTGCACCTCCTCGGGCTCGCGACGACGCCCGAGCAGGTGCGCGAGGTCGTCGCGCTCTTCCCGCGCTGGGTCGAGGGCGGGCGGGTCTTCTCGCCCAGGATCGCTGAGGCGTTCATCCGTGCGTCTCCCCTCCCTTTCTTACTCATCCTGCTCGTGTGGCTAAGTCGCGACTGCTCTGCCAGGCCGCTGCGAAGAGCTCCACTGCCCGCTCATCGCCCTCGAGGTCTTCTCCGACTACCAAAAGCACTCCCTCAGCCTCCCCGCCGCGCCCGCGTCTCAGCGCGCGGTGCACCAGTTCCTGCACTCCCTGCAGCAGGAGCACCCCGTGGCGAAGGTCGTGCAGGCCGCGGCGCTCTTCGGGCCGTACAAGCTCCCGCCCGTCACGTCCGACCTCGTCTCGTGCGCGATGCTCACTTCGGCGTGTCTGCGCGACGCGCGGCGGCACCAGCTGGAGATGCAGAAGCAGTCCTCCCCCTCGTCCTCCGCGGATAAGGAGAACCCGGAGCTGGTTGAGCAGAAGGGGAAGACGAAGACGAGACCCCCGCCGAGCCTCGTGGTCGCGCTGACCCTCGTGCCCGCGCTGCAGCGCCTCGTCACCGGCGCGCCGCCCCTCCCCGTGCCGGAGAACAAGCTCGAGAAGGAAAGAGCGAAGGAGCGCGTGTGGTTGAAGTGGGCGCTGGCGAGGGTCGAGCATTACCTGCCAAGGCTGACGCGGGGGACGACGTGGGAGGGCGTGCAGCCGGTGAGTGTGGACTGGCTGGCGGAGTGGAGGGCGAGGAGCGGGCATGCGCAGGGCGGTGCTGCTGCTGCTGCGTAGGTAGCGGTGTATACGGACGACGCTGATGATGTGAGCGGTGATTGAGTGACCTTGCGTTCGCGCTGCTGGTGGGATCCCAACGGTCTGTGCATTAGGCAAGAGAAAAGACTGTAGTATTACACTACGTAGATGCTACAGTATACGCGAGTAAGTCCGAGTTCTATCGATACATTCGTGGATGATAGGCAAGCAAAGAGAGACCATTATGCGCGGGCCACCAGTGGCCTGCGCCCCAAGAGCGAAAGACGAATCGTAACAGTCGTGTCGTGCGTCGTATCCCTCGTCTCACTATAGGAGCATCCCGACAGCCGCAGCGATAACCGCCATCGCCACGCCCGCATCTCTATGGACGTTGCTCCTCCTATCGCCCGCGCTCGACTTGGTGGCGGAGGGCGTTGAGGAGCTGGAGGTGGACGTGCCGTTGAGCTGCTTGGCCTTAGCCTGGAACGCGGCGAAGTTGTTCGCGCCGGACTCGACCGCGTTCGCGGCGAAGACCATGCCCTGCCCGCAGTGGTTCGCCTGCCTGCAGTACACCCAGAGCGGCGCGGTGTCGTTCACTTTGATGGTATAGGTCGGGAAGGTGGGGGCGTCGCTGCTGACGGGCATGCTATTGGGGGAGGGAGGAGTGAGAAAGGGAAGAACGGGAGGGGAGGAGCAGGGGGAGGGGCGACTTACAATCCGGAGTCGAAGCCGACTTGTCCGCTCGTGGAGGTGTCGGTAAGGGAGCGGCAGGGGTTGGCGAAGCTCGACTGCGTCGCGGTGTGGTTCTTCTCACTGCACGCAAGATGTTAAATACCACATGACCCGGGATAAGGAGAACAGCTGCTTACTGGAACTCGAAGGTGATCGTGTCGCCGACCTGCGCGGAGATATTCGCCGGGCTGAACGTGAGCTGGTTCGGCCCGCCGACGACGACCTTGTGGTCCGTCGACGCAGCAGATGTAGGTGCCGACGAGCCGGGGTAAGAGCCGTACGTCGTCGTCACCGCCTGCCCGCCCCCGACGGTCACCGTCGCGGTGACGGTCACCACGGACGCTGTCGTCGCGGTGGAGGTAGAGTTGGTGGTGGACGTCGAATTGGTGGAGGTGGTGTTGCCGGTGGCGGCGGCCTGGAAGGCTGGGAACTTGTCGCCGGGGTTGACGGCGAAGACCATGCCCTGCTGGCAGTGGTTCGCCTGGCGGCAGTACACCCAGACGGGGTTGGTGTCTTGCACGGTGAACTGGGCGGTGGGGAAGGGGCCGTTGGTGTTGTTGTCTGCCACTGGTACGCTGGAGACGTATAATGATTATTTGGTATCTGTTGTGAGGGTGGCGGACTTACAAGCCAGAGTCGAAGCCGCCGTCCATGAGTTGGCATGGGTTGGCAAATGTCGACTGGCTGACGGTGTGGTTCTTCTGCTTGAAGGTGAAGATGATAGTGTCTCCTGGATCGGCGGTCTATTCGCGTATTTTCTTCAGTGCTTGTACGCAATACAAAAACAATCAATGCGTACCAAAGTCTCAGGATCGAACTTGAGGATTCCGGGTCCTCCGACGGTTACTGCATGCTGGGCAGCGCGCACAACGGGCACGGCTGCGAGCGAGAGGGTGGCAAGGGCAGCGACGGACTTGAAGAACATGATAAAGCGCGTTATTTCGTGTCTTGAACTCGATTAAAGGTTTGAAGTAGAACTAGAGCTAGTCTGAAAGTAATTGGCCAGCAAGTTCGACGCGGTCGAATATTATTAGCGGCGGGTAGGGGCTGATGGCGGGACTGGGAAGAAGGTGGGATCCTGGCTTCATTGCAGGCATCCTCTTTTTATAGCGCGCCTGCCTAATGACTGGAACAATAAACCGGGCACAAAGAGCACAAGAGCACGTTGTGGCGGTGCCCCAGTGCGACAAAGAAGCGCGTCTCGTATTGTGTCCCGAAAAGGAAGGCCCACGTGCACTGCTTCGATCGCGGCGTCCCTGTCCGAGTCCGTGCAACTGACTACTGACAGTGCACGCTCATTGTACTCGACTGCAGAATTGTCATGGCGGATCCTGAGCTTGCCGCGATACGCGCTGCGCGGATGAACCAGCTCCAGCAGGCGAACGGGCCTGGCGAGAGCGCCGAGGACGAGGGCAAGAAGGCGCAGGAGGAGCAGATGCGGCGAGATTTGCTCGCGACGGTGTTGGATTCTGCTGCCCGGGAACGATGTACGTCTGTCTGCGCATGGATGTGAAAAGGAGCCTTGGGCACGGAACGATTGTGCCTGTATTTGCTTGTTGTTCTAGTGGCCCGCATAGCACTCGTGAGCGCGGAGCGATCCCGGCAGGTCGAGTCTATCCTGCTGAGGATGGCTCAGACGGGTCAGCTGCGAGGTAGAGTCAGCGAGCAGCAACTTATCGAGCTGCTTGACCAGGTGAGTGTTGGGTGATCTATGTTGGAGCAGAGTATGAACCATGGTTCGCAGATGGAGGACGCTCAGTCGAAAGGATCCGGGACGAAAGGCGCGATAGTGGTGAGTGTTGTCTGATAATCACTGTGATCACTGCTGATGACGGTGTTTTTCTCATGGCGTGTTAGTATCAACGCCGGAAAGCAGTACTTGACGACGACGATTTTGACGTCTGAGCTCGGAGGATTACTCACCAAAACAAGTGTATCGATATTCCCTTTATTGCCCACACACGACTGCTTCGTCGGCCATGTATTATCCGTAATAGACGGAGCGGATTATCCTATACATATCTCATACTCTGTCTATTTTAGCCAGATGGCCTTAAGCTTCACTTTGGCTGTGCCGTGGGTTTGGGGCTTCCGGGTGCTTTCCCGAGTCCCGTAAAGCGCAGAAGAGGTATCAGATAACCGCGACGCAGACAAGTCTCACCCACATAGCTCCAGGACAGACGCTGTAGCATCCGTAGATATAAGACATCCCCTGGAGGCTGGAGCACCTTCTCCTCCAAACCTGGTGCCACCCAAGAGTCTCACGCGCCAAAGCGAAGCGTAGCCAAACAAGGCACAACAACGCCACCAGGCGGGAGAAAACCTCCCTGACATTGCCTCATTGTCGCGTCCCTGCAGCATCCCCGAGCCTCGCAACCTGGCAGCACGCACGCACACCTCTATCTCTCTCCGTCTATTTACAACCCCTCCGAAACAACCCTCTGCGACGATATCACGCACAGCAATGGCGGCCAGTCGAAACCACTCGTTCCCGTCTTCGCATAGCAGCGCTTCCGCACAGTCCAAGTCGCACGTCCTCGCCGGCGTGCAGGACGCGTACTGGAGCGACGACGAGGCGGTGAGTGCTCTGCATTGCTCCTATGTAAGTCGGTATTCGAGCGCGTCTCCCCGCGCGGCGTTGTAGGAAGACGCGGAGTGCCCGCTCTGTCTCGAGGAAATGGACATCTCGGATCTCAACTTCAAGCCCTGCGTGTGTGGTTACCAGGTACGTCGCTTTAACGTAGCTTGATGTGCTGTGGCTAAGAGGGATATTCGAAGATATGCAGGTTCTGCTGGCACCATATCAAGGAGAACCTGAACGGCCGCTGCCCTGCGTGTCGGAGGGAATACTCGGACGAGAATGTGCAGTTCAAGCCGATCAACAAGGAAGAGTGAGTGTTTACGCTTCGGACCTTCTGCTGTTTGGCTGAGCACTAACGTTCGTGCCCTAGCCATAAGCGTCTGATGCAGCAGAAGAAGCAGCGGGAGCGGGAGCGCAAGGAGCTCGACGCGCTCGGCCGGCGCCACCTCGCGAACGTGCGCGTCGTCCAGCGAAGTGTCGTCTACGTCGTCGGCATCGGCCCGCGCTTCGCCAAGGAGGAGGTACGCCGCGCATATACCCTCCCCACTCCTTATCCCACTTATCCCACTGACCTCATCCAACAGCTCATCCCGACGCTCCGCTCGAACGAGTACTTCGGGCAGTACGGCAAGATCACGAAGATCGTGCTCGTGAAGCGCTCTCCGCCCGGCGGCCGGTCGCCCGTCGTCGGATTGTACATCACGTACCACCGGCGTGAGGACGCGGCGCGCGCGATCGCGGGCGTCGATGGTGCGCCCTCGCCTGGCGGCGGGAATGATGTGATGCGCGCGAGCTACGGGACGGCGAAGTATTGCATGGCGTTCCTCCGCGGGCAGACGTGTAATGACCACAGCTGTATGAACTTGCACGAGTGGGGAGATGAGAAGGATTGTTTCACAAAGGAGGATTTGACGACCTTGTGAGTTGCTTGCCTCTTTCAAGGGAAGGGTGGATACTGATTGTACGCTAGGAAACATACGCTGAAGGATATGGAGAATCGGCCGAGGAGTACGTTCACGATCAAGAAGGCTGATGAGGCAGAACGTGAGTACACGCAGCCCTGTCTCGTTCTCGTAGATTTGACGCTTTTCTAGCTGGTCTACCACGCGGCGCATCATGGGCACAGAAGGGGTCTGGGAACTCCGCATTGCATAATAATAGTGCGGCTGCTAATCAAGCGTCGACTGCAAGAAGCAGTCGGAGAGGAGGCACTAGACAGCCTCGAATAGGTGCTTCCTCGTCAACTGCCCCTTCTACTGCCGAATCGAAGGCATCCGCCCCACGTCACCCTCGCACTACCGCTGCTGCTGCTTCTGCCAAGGCGACCTCCCAGCCGTCGTCGTCCAGACCGCCTACGCCAGCTAGTACAGCTCCGAGACCCAGCACACCTGCAGACGCGAAGATAGCCCGCGTGAAGGAACAGGACAAGACGCCGCCCCGGTCGCCGACGTCTTCTGTTGCTGTCGAATCTGATGTAGGATCTCGGGACGTGGCCTCGCCTTCACCAGCACCGCGGCCACAGTCCGTGGATTCTGTGCAGTCTTCTGTACCGTCTGCGCCTCCGGGACTTTCTGGTCCACCCCCAGGGCTCACCGCACCTCCTGGTCTGCCTCCGCCCAAGCGTCTCCAGACAGAGTCTCCGCAGATCGGCATGGTACCGTCGCAGTCTTCGTACCAGATGTCTGCGCAGATGCAGGCGCTCTTGGATGATGTCAAGGCACGGCGGGAAGCACCGACGACGACGAGCGGAACTAATCCCTTCCCCGACCTGGATCGCATGCTGCAGCATCTGCAAGGCGGCGATGAGGGAGGATTCAGCTTCAACCTGGATCCTAAGCTCGCGAGTGACACGAATGAGGAAGTTGAGCTCGTTCCACCGTTTGAGGCGGAGGCGAATATTCCGTTCCAAGGTAACTACCTGGATACCTTCCCTGGATTGAGGTCGCCGCATCTAGCGAACCCGTACGGGACGCCGCCTGGTCTTGCTATTCCCCATAATCCGAGTCGGCCCCTCTACGAGTCGATGGCGAAGGGGTCTCCACTGTCGCAGAACTACAGCGGTTCCTTCAATCCTTTCGCCGAGGCTGGTGAGGATACCTCGGCTCCGACTGGGCGTTCGTCTCTCAGCGGATTGGACGAAGAGAGGCAGGTGTCTCGATTTGGCTTCGCTCGTGGGCGCCAGGGATCGACTGCTACCTCGTCGCCTCTTCACGGGTCACCTATAACCGCCAATGACAGCTTTTCACATGGGCAGTTCTACAGTTCGCCCAGGTTGACCTCCCCCACCGCCAACCCCCAGCCTCAGCAGTGGCACTTCCCGACGCGCCAGCCCGAGTACACGCAGCCTGGCTCGAACATCGCGTCTCCCCTGGTTCAGAACGCGCAGGCTGCGTATCCCCAGCATCAACCGAGTCGGTTCCAGCCTTTCGACGACGTCGTCAGCGAAGCCCAGTTGAGAGACTTCATACGGTCAAGTCGCGAGAGGGATGCGTCCATGCGCAACGTGGCACAGTATGGTGGGAGGCTTCTATTCGTGTAATTCTACTGTTCTTTATTTGTTGACGTAACTTTTCGGACATGCATCGTTTTGTTGAACATGTACCCATTTTCGCTATACTACCTGTACTACTCCCGGCCACAGACCAGCAACCACGGCATGCGAATTCGTTTCACTACAGTCCCGCTCAGCCATTCAGTGACCCCGCTATCATGTCCTCGGCAAGGTTTTCGTCTCCTGTGATGACCACGGCGGCGGCGACAGTAGCAGCAGGTTTCGCGACTCAGCATTCGTCGGACAGCATCTCTGCGGTTCCTCCAGGCTTGCATTTCGCTGAAAGCGCGATGTCGAGCCCCGTACCCTCAAGTATTCTTGCGCATGGCACCGGGAGTGGCCCTTCTACGAATATGGAGATGTCCCAAGGAGGGTCCTCAGTTCAAGGTGAGCTTTTAAAATCTACCCATAGGGGAGGGAGTCCCAGGTACCGAGCCGTGCCTTCCCAGTGCGGAAATTCTTTCATCGGCCTTGATACTGTCATGGCCCCGGCCCGGTCACCTCTATGCCCTCGTCAGTCTCGGTCCTGTGCTACGCTGTGTATGAACTCCCTGATATCACTCCCATGGCAAGCGGGATGTCGACGAACGTCTCCCTCCCCTTTGGTACGGCATCCGCGTCTTGTTCGACGCTAACTATGTTTTCTTTTGTTTCTATTTTCTTGCTCCGCTGCATATATTTTTCGCAACAGCGTCAAGACCCGTTTCACCCACCCAACCACTTCCTGCCCTGTCTCCGACGGAATTCCCTGCGTTGGGTGCCGATAATCAGGCATCGAGAGAGGGACAGCAGGCTTCGGAAGGCAAGGCATCTCCTGCCGAGACTAGCGCGCAGGCCAAAGCAGACAAGAAGGCAGCGAAGAGAGCTGCTGCAGCCGAGAGGGCAGCAGAGCGACGCAGGATTGCTGAGGAGAAGGCTGCTGCGAGAGCTGCAGAGAAGGCCAAAGTCGCAGCGGAGAAGGCGGCTGAGAAGGAGAAAGCCGCAGCTCTGAAAGCTGAGAAAGACCGCGTTGACAAGGATAAGCTCGAGAAGGAGCAAGCTGAGAAAGAGAAGCTCGAGAAAGAGAAGGCTGAGAGGGAGAGGCAGGAGAAAGAGAGGGCGGAAGCGGCTGCGAAGGAGAAAGCTGCGCGAACTAGCTCTACTCCGGACTCAGGCTCTGGCAAGAAACAGACCGCAGCTACCAAGGCTAAGGCCGTCGATTCGCGAGAGGCTTCACCTGCCCCGAGCAAGAGTGGAGGCAAGTCAAGGACACGCCAGAGCTCCAGAGAGCCGTCGCCGCCCCCGTCAAGGCTGGACCTTACAGTTCAAGTCCCGATCTTGTCGAAGATGCCCAAGAAGAACAAGCCTGCCACGAAGCCTATCAAGATCCCGAAAGAGGAGGAGTTGGCCTCTGAAGCGGCTTCAGCGCTTCCTGCAACGCAATCGGACGGACCTCAGGGATTGCTCGTCAGAGCCACTCACGGGAGCGCAGTCTCGTCTAATAATTCAAGGGCGCAGTCCATCGACAGGATGCCCCTGTACGAGCCGACGTCTCTAGCTCAGCTATTCGCAGATATTGACCAGCAATGCCCTTGGATGCGTATTGCTGACCATCCGGTCTTCGATCTGTCGAAAATCAATCCCGCTGCGAAGATGCCCTTGGAGTATGGACCCTTGGTGCACGCGCTGTCCGCTCTATCGGTTGGCGGGGGATCTTTCGCCAATAATATGCCCTCTGGGTCGATCGACAACGCTGTGTCGTCGTTCCAGCAGCTCCTGGAGACGTTGACGCAGACCATCTCGGACCTCCTCCGTCTCTTACCTCGCACCACCTGGGATGATAGTTCGTCTTTCGATGGTGTTCTGCGCGATATGCTGAAAGGTGACGATTTCCTTGATGAAGGCACCGAAGAAGGATCCGGTAGGGATGACGAGGTTGCGGCGCTGACGCTCGCGCTGGAGCGTCGAGCTCGCTGGATGGAAGTGCAGCTCTCGAAGCTAGAGGAGCTACATCGGGATATCAATACAGCTGCAGTTCGGGCCGTGCTTGCGTTCAACGACAACGGCTGGGATCGTCAAGGCTGGCTGCCCCGTGTTGGCAATACTCTCGCGCGCTTCGACAAGCTGGGGCTGGTTGAGGAGAATGGGGCGTTGCGCCCGATGACGGCGGATGAGTTGGAGAAGAAGCTTACTGTTGCGAAGGAGGCTGCTGTGTTTGCAGAGACTGAAATGAGGGAGTCTGTGGAGAGGTTGCAAGTTTACAGGCCGTATGAAGAAGATGAATACTAAGTACAAGTAGAGCATGCAAGAATAGACGATCTTTTCTGTAATCCTGATCCCCGTCCTCGGTAATTGCGGATGTCGGGGTGTCTCTGCAACTTCGGCCACCCTTTAGTGCTGCTCAATTCTTATTTCGTTCGTCCGTTCGTCTGTTCGTTCGATTGAGCGCGTCCAAAAGAGTGAGGAAGCAATGATGGCCGGCGATCCGGGACCACGGTCATGTGATGTGCTCACCGGTCGCGGCAAGGCATCGAGAATTTCCGTGGTGGCTAGTTATGTGGACGGAATCCGTCGACGTAGATTACATGCCACATTATTCTCCTCATAGCAATTCTGAGATATATGGACCCCGTGCCCAGGCTGAGTATTGACCCAATTGGGGCTCTTATCATGCTTGTGCGTATATCTCGAAAAAGCCTCAGGAAATAAATGTGTCGGCCACACGAAATGCAATCCTCCCTACAAAGTTGAGGACGCAGATTATGTAAGCGAGTCGCGCAGCGGCTCGCAAAGTGGGCGCGGAGCCATTGCAGCGCATGCACCCAGACGGTTGCGCGACTACCATATTACCTTATTGTTAACTATTGGTAGTGTGCCGCTAGTGCAGCGGTTAGTGTGACGGGTTATTTCAGATGCAATGATGTGAGGTCGAGGTTCAATCCCACCCATGGACGATATTTTAAACTTGCGATGATTTTAGTTGTCTTCACTCCATAACGCAACTTGACAATTTTCTTTCGTTCTCTGTCTCATAATGCCGTCATTCCAAGGCGCCGATATTGATGACATCGTGGCATTTTGAGTCCGGACAAGGGCCAATCTATACACAAAGCCTGCATTTGGTATTATACTTTGGGGTTCAGTTTGAAAAAATTAAAACTACATGTGTACTGATATAACAAACGATTCAACTTCTCATGATCATGGGAGGTGGTGTACACAACCTCCTCACCGCCTTAGGACTCCCATTCCGAAGCGAGTCGCCCCGACTTCAGACGAAGTCCCTCGCGACGCTGCGGGGTTACCGCACAGTGTCTCGACCTTCCATTTATAGCGACTCGCGTCCTTAACTTTGTAGGGAGGATTGCACTTTCTGTCGGCCACCAACGGTGAGCACATCACATGACCGTGGTCCCGGATCGCCGGCCATCATTGCTTCCTCACTCTTTTGGACGCGCTCAATCGAACGAACAGACGAACGGACGAACGAAATAAGAATTGAGCAGCACTTTTGTTTGCTGCAGCTTGGTTTTGTGGCACTGAAGTTTTCCCGACTTCTTCTCTGCAGTGTCTGCACTGCACAGTGCAGCACACCAGGACATCGAGTTAGGTATGTTTTGTGGCCTTTAATCTTTGTATCAAGCAGGTTTGCGGATGAAACGCACTGGGCTCTGAGTCTATTGATGTTACTGCACAACGCTCAATTGTCGAGCGGCGGCGTAGAAAACCGTTCACTGAACCATCCTGCTTTCCTTGTTCTACTTAGTCTCAGCTTCTTATAATATTTCGCTTGCAGCTCCGAGGCCTGATACCACCATATCACCTACGAAGATGGACGGCGAAACCATTACGAAAGAGCAGAAGGAGCTTTGCGATGTCGTAGACGAAATGACTCGGAGTATGTCATCTGTGCGCGAGCTCATTCAATCTCTACGTGCAAAGTGAGCTCTTGCTTACTCGAATCTTGACAGGCCGGGAACTAAACTACTGCGCCTTTGCAGGTCCTCTGACGAGCTGGACGTACGAGATGGCATCTCACTACTGTCGCTCAAAAATCACCTTGGGCTCGCTTACCTTCAGAATCTCACACTCGTCTCCGCGCATCGGGCCCTTGGGCACAGTCTAGAAGAGAGCACTCCTCCCTCGAAGCCGTTCGGGGCGTTGGATCGAGAGCCCCGTGGCTCCTCCCCTGGGGACTTGGTCAATTCGATGGTCGAGGGACGGGTGGTGCTCGAAAAGATCAAGATTTTGGAAGGGCGTATGCGGTATCAGATTGAGAAGTTGGTGCGGGTTGCTGAAGAAGCGCCTACCGACGGCAATGTCCTGAACGGTGCGAAATATTGTTATGTGTGCAATGCCCAGGCTATTTTACCCATATTTGTCTCTGTCCAGACCCTCTCGCATTCCGGCCAAACCCCGAAAACCTTATAGGCAACGACTCAGATGCGTCGGAGGCGGAAGAAGGTGCTGATGCTGAAGACACGAGGGACAATGATGGAATCTACCGCCCTCCCAAGCTCGCCCCGGTACCCTACGTGGAGACGTCGAAGAAAGACAAATCCCGGCGGCAACCGATCCCGACCGCGCTGTCTTCCCTTACCCACTTGGACCCCACGAAGCCGTATACCGAGTCTGCTTCAGGCTTGGGAGCCACACCTTCGCTCTCATCAGCTCGTGCCCGGGAGATCCAGCGCATGACGGAGTTCGAGGAGGAAAATATGATGCGGTTGGTGATGAAGAAAAAGGATGCCAAGCGGAGGAGGATGGACGAGGAGGACATCGCGCTTGGTGGTATGGGCGGCCTGCAGGGCAGACGTCGGGGAGACGGTTTGGACGCCGAGTTCGGCGACGTGCTCAGATCCGTTGGGAGGAGTCGCAATGGGGCGATTGGGGATGGTTATGAGGAGTTACGACAGAGAGGGAAGAAGCAAGGGGCCTTGGAGAGATCTCGCGCAAGAAATATGGAGGATAGCGTGGAGGAGGGTCCTCGGCAGAGGAAGAGAGGAAGATTCGACAAGGCGGTGAAAGCGACGAAGAGGAGAATGTCGTCCAAGTCGAGGAAGTGATAGTATCTCTTTCCTTCATTCATGTCCATGACACGTATGGCAACTCAGCTTGGTATACTCTTTTTGCATTGGGGAGGAAGGAAGAACCTCGCCTCACAGCCAGACAGGTACACGCATGCTCCTGAGGCTCGAGGCTGGCTTCCGACAACAGTCGAACGCATGGCTTTATGTCAGGTAATTCAGGAGGTAGTCGATGGGGTGCCCACCCCAGCGCTTAGGCATTATCCTTGGCTTGTTAGCGGACACTGACACTGACAGCGATGGTATGTCCATGGCAGGTCCACGGTCAGGTGAATATCAAGATGAATTGGATCATGCTGATTTATCGAGATGGAACTCATCCTCTCCTTGTTGGTATTCCCTGTCAATCTCTCATATGTCTGCACGGGGCATAGAACGACTTGCGCGAGAGCTGGTGCCCGCAGTGACGATCCGGCAGCAGCTTGACCTACTTCCATTCCCCTACGCAAGATATTGGGCGATACAGTGGAAGGAGATACTTCCGTACTTCCCGTGCGCATGTGCATTGTATGGTTCAGGAAATCACTTGCCCGGACACCCACCTCATCAGATTGAACACTTACTGTGTTGACATATGGCGTGTGCGCTGAGGTAGGTCTATCGCGGCCTCTGCGTCCTCTTGTCCCCCCGATTTAATTCAATCCTCCTCTGCTTCGCCGCTGCCGATAGTGGGCAGTCTACCATCTATCATCACTTGGCTCGTCTCACGTTCCTTTGGATTACCATGGCGGTTTCGTTTCCCCTTTCACACTGTCAGACCCAACCACTACCTCCGGTCCCACTGCCTCGGTCGAATACTACACTTCCTCTAGCCTCACGACTTATATTTCGAAGGAACCCTCGACAACGTTCATCCTCAGCTTTGATCCTTCTACTCAAGCGTCGATTGGCGTCACGAAGTCGACCACGTTAAGCATCATAGAAACGTCGAACGGCGTCTCGAAGGTGACGACCAGCCCATCGACAAGTACTGTAAATGTCAACCCCGTGCCGAGCTAGGACCCCGGCATATGGGTACTGATGTTTGATCCTAAGTGCCCGATTTTCGGCCCTTATGGCCTCACACATTTGGTCCGGATATGTCCGCCTCTAGGATCCGGTCAGCCCAAATTGGGCTGCTTATGTCCGCATAAGTGACCTATGCTCGGGCGCCCCCCGGTGTGTCCGCCAAACGGATCCAACCTCGAAACCGGCACACGCCCAACGCTGCAACGAGTAGATCGTGACATGATTACTCCGGGATATTGTATTTCAGTCTTCCTAAGATCCACCACTGTTTCCAAAGCTTGCATTTCATTCACCGTTGCTGAGGATATACCTGGATATACACGAGACGAGCTGACAGTTGACTGAGAAGCATAAGAGACACCACTCAACCTAGTACAAGGACTACTGGGTGTGACACTTCGACGACTTGGTATGTCCGCCAGGTGATCGGACACCAAGACCGGCAAGGCCCTTGTGTCCGCCGTGATATACCGGACATGGACCGAAATTTTGGGCTTTATGTC